TCAGAATAACACAGCTAACTGTCTTAACAGTTTGTTTTTATTTGAAGGTTAAAACTGGTTTTGTAATATCATCAAAAATGTACTATTTACAGCTATGAAGGACCTGTCAAATTGCCATTGCTGAATGTCATTGCAGGAAAGACCTCACAACTAAATGCCTTCCCAAAAGACAGTCTCACAGGCACAAAGACTGGTTTGGGGACTATTGTGTAAATTAACCTGTGTGTTCTTCTGTTTTCATAGGACGTATGCCTATGACTTCATTACCTGAGTGATTGGTTGCAATATAGACCTCACTTAAGGAGCCCATTTTTCATCATCGCCCCCTGGAGCTCAATGGTTTGGCTAAACTAAGTGGTTGGGTTAGTAAGCAGTTTGGGCGATCTGTGGGCTTCGCTTTAAAACTGATTTTCCCTTTTCTGTCTTAGTGGCTTGAACAGGAAAGGTTTAAATATCTGAAAGGAGGGAAATCATAATATATCTCCTTCATCCTGAGTAAAGTATAATGGGCCGCAAGAATTTTGGATAGGTGTAGCATACCTTGTACACCTTCCTCCAGATAAGCCATACCTAAGCCCCTGCCTTTGTCATTTAATAGTTATGATTTAATTGTGCCTTCCAACTCTTTCCAAATCTGTCACCTCCAGAATATAACCAGGATGCCAATGGTCCAGTAATGCCAGCCTTTGGACACCGAGCCTGCGACTTCCTGGTAATAGCCAACTGACCAGGATTCTGTAAGGTCCTTCCCCTTACAGGAAGGACTCCCTCCATGCTGCACCCCCTTTCAGGGCACCCCAGACCCATGGATGGGTAAAACAACGTCCGGAAGCAGTTACAAGAAGATGAGACCTTCGTCCATTGTCCTTTAAAAGAATTTAAAGTGGGTATATATCTAAAATGAAAAATTGTTACAAGGTGCAGCCAAGGGGAGGGACCCCAAATGGGCATTTGGGATGGGGTCTAGAACTTGGGGTGTCCAGGAGATTTTAGGATGCCTTCTCCTACATTCCTGTGGCACCTTCCAGCCAACCCACTTTTGCCTTTGAATAAAAAGATCCGCACACAGTGGTCAAGACTCAGTTGACCTGGACTAGACTGCCCCAGGGGTTTAAGAATTCCCCAACCCTATTTGGGGAAGACATAGCAGGAGACCCCTTGCTAAGGGGGGACGGACCTGATGATTCTGCAGTACATGGACGACCTCCTCCTGGTGGCCCCATCCCAGGAATGGTGCCGGGAGGGAACGCACACACTGCTGAAGTGCCTGGCTGAATTAAGGAAAGAACACCAGAAGCACATCCCCGAACACACTCCTGCTCTTCACCTCGAGTTGCAGAGGGCACGCGTTGTGTATCTGAAGTGCCCCTACAGCTGTCTGCACAGTCCTCTGTCATGGCCTTTCATGTTGCTCCATCAGGTTCACCTGCCCCAGTGGCCTGCAAGCTCCCTTGAGGCTCCGGTAATGTCACCAGGTGCAGAGCTCAGCAACCAGGCTTGCTGGAAGTACTCATGGTGTGATCAGGGGCGTGGACAGAAAACAGCAGAGTTGCCAACACCCTCCAGAACCTTGTCTGATTTCTAAGAAAAATGCTCGTTCTCCTGAGGAAAAGCCAGCCTGTACCTGGCGGCTGTGGAACTTGGCCCTACTACCAGGCTTTGAAGGGTCCGGACATTAAGAGAAAGCCTTCCAAAATATTAAGAGGTGCCTCAGTAATGTTCCTGCCCTTGGACTGTCAAAGCCGGGGCGGCCTTTTAATCTGTACACCCACAAGAGAGACAAGGTAGCCCTTGGGTCCTAACCCAGCCTATCGGACCATGCCAACACCTGGTGGCTCACCTGTCTAAGCAGTTGGACCATGACGCCACCAGCTGGCCACCTCGTCTAAGGGCAGTCACTGTTGCCATAACCCTCTTGTCAAGAGGCATAAGTGGCTGTCAAATCCCAGACTGACTCAATACCAGGGCATCCTCCAAGGAAACCTGAGGGTGCATGTTAAGACCATGAAACAAGTCAATCCAGCCACCTACTTATCGGCAAAACTTGGAGAGCTGGACCATGACTGTCTTAGAGTAACTAAAGAAGTCCACGCCAGCCGACCAGACCTCCAGGACCAGCCCCTGGCCCAACCTGATGTTAATGTCACCCACTACATGAATAGAAGCAGCTATATGGTTGAGGGCAGGAAAGTCGCCAACTATGCAGACCAGAAAACTGGACTGCCCTGGACAAACTTACTGCTGCAGAAGTCACCCCTTGGATCTACTACAACCAGGCCAAGACAGCAGCAGATCCCAAAGACCCGAAGACTAGGCCTGTGCCAAAATCCCACACTAAGACACTGGAGGACGCCAACCAGTAAAAAGAGACACCAAAAATAGACCGTTGTTCTGCAGGGTACCTGACTCTAATTGGCACCTTCGCAGGAACATTAACAATTGAACTAGTAAGTGTGGCCCCTAAGGAATGGAATCCCTGCAAATCAGGTCACTCTAGAAATAGTTTGTCTCTGTTTAATCTCTGTATTTGAGTTTATTGTATGCTTTGCTTAACAAATGCGGCCCCTGTCTCAGCCCAAGCCTGCAAATGTAATACCCCTGGGCATAGGATTATGCTCAGCAGTAAAGTGGTCTCTTACTGTCTCCCAGGGTCAGCTTTCAGCTCCTCCACTGACATGCCGTCGGGTTGCATTCAGTCACAGCAATCCCTCTGCACTTGGGGAGGGAAGGTATAAGGGACAGGAGTAACATCCAGGACCATAAAGTACCAGACCCGGAGGTATCAGGCATATAGGATCCTGCATCCTCTGGACCTTAGTCCAACACCTAGGGCCACAGTGACTCATAGGGGAGCCACCACAGTGCTAGCCCTCCAGTGGTACCAACACCAGTATCAGCAGTTGTAACCCTCCCAAGGACCTCAGCCTTATAGCCAGGTATTAGTGATGCTAAAAGGGATAAAACACCTTATAGCATCAAAGGGGGGAATGTGGCAGGAAAAGAAACTGCTCTCTGTAACACTTGCAAGTTTTGTTGGGACAAAAGCTGAGTAAAAGTTATTTTTAGGTAAGGAACCAGCTAGCAGATGTTGCTATGTAACGTTATCTGAAGGCCACTAACCTTGCTCCTGCTTCTGAATGCTTGCTTTCAGCAGCTGGTCCCCCTCCCTTTCTGCCTGTGTAACTGGTATATAAAAGGACTCCAAACCCAGCTTTTTCAGCTCAGGATTTGGGAATTAACCCCCCTTGAGCCCCCGGGTAATAAAGTCTGTGCTTCGTTATCTCCCCAAGTGTGGGTGGATTTTCCACAACAATGTTATCTTTGTTTTTGAGTGCACTTTGGTCAATGTCATTCAATAAATTATTGTTTCATTTAATTTTTCAAACTTATGGGCATTAAGTTTTTGTAATACTTCTATACTGTCTTTTTAAAAAAATTATTGACACTATTACAGAAGCTCCCATTTTCCTCCCCTTCACCTGCCTGTCTATTTTTCATTTCCTTTCCTCTTTTTTCAGGCTTCCCTTGGATTAAGTGATTATTTGTTATGATTCTACTGTATCTCCACTGTTAGCTTATTAAGCTTCCATCTTTGTTGTTATTGTTGATTTTATGGTTACTTTAGGGTTTGTAGTATACATATTTAATTATTATGGATTACCATTAACCAATGTATATCAGTTCATATGTAGCATAAGACACTTCTAATAGTATATTTCCATTTCGCCTCTCTCAACCTTTGTAATATTGTTATTATACATTTTACTTCTGCTCTGTTATAAATTAATAAATGCTATAATATATGGTTGTTTCTGCTTTAAATAACAAATTACCTTTAAATATTTTGAACTTTAGTAATTGCATCATATGTTCACATTATAGTTATTTTTGTAATTATTTACTTGTAATGTCAGAAAAATAGTTACATTTTTTGAAATGAAGATTTTCAATAAAAGAGAGATGAAGTACAATTGTGGAATCAAGAATTTAAGTAGAACTTGATTGGTAATATCAACATTAACTTATTCTTTACATAAAAATTTTAATATCATTTTAAAAATTGTGGTAAAACATTTAACAAAATTTGTCATCTTAATTATTTTTAAGTATACAGTTTAGTAGTTATTAATTACCTTTCTAAAGATTTAAATTATAAGAAGAAAAGTCCTTAATATTTACTTATATTACCATTTTGGGTATTCTGCATTTTTGTAAGGATCCAGATTTTTATTTAGAATCATTTTCTTCCTGCTGCTTTGCATGTCTGGTAATTGATTACCATATGGTAGACATTATAAATTTTATATGATTTTAGGTACTGAAGTTTTTGTAGTCCTTTAAATACTTTGGGGCTTTATTCTGGTATATAGTCAAGTAAACTTTGAAACAGTTTCATTTTTTGGCACTTGCTTTTAACATTTGTTAGATAGACCCAGAATGACTTTTAGTGAAATCCACACAGTCAGTATCTTAGGACAGAAAGAAGGATTGAATAGGTCTGAATGGCCAAATTAAAATTATCAGATGTATAAGAGTAAATGCTTATTTCCATATCTGATGTTCCAATGGAATGTGACTTCCTTAATGTCCAAGACAGTGTGTCCTTTCACATTTACTTCCTTAAGCTGGACTGTGTCTGGCACATAGTAGGCATTTATTAAATGTTTGCTTTCTATGTATTTTTAAAAATATAACTGTAACCTCACATTTTCTTTTAAAATAGCATATAGTTATATTAGTAATAATAGAATTTTTTTTTAGAGAGGGAAGGGAGGGAGGGGGAGAGAAAGAGAGAGAGAGAGAGAGAGAGAGAGAGAAACATCAATGTGCGGTTGCTGGGGGTTATGGCTTGCAACCCAGGAATGTACCCTGGCTGGGAATCGAACCTGAGACACTTTGGTTCCCAGCCCATGCTCAATCCACTGAGCTATGCCAGCCAGGGCAGAAATTTTTTAACTTAGAATATTATATACTTCTTTAGTAAGTTTTCATCAACTTACATTTGCCTCATCCATTCTATTTTTCTAATTTTTCTTTTCTTTTCCATATCTTGTCTTCTCTTCAGTTTAGAGAAATGAAATTTGCATTCCTTTTTGTCTCCCACCATTACATCTTCAGTGGACATCCAAAACTATTGAGAAATAAAAAATGAATATATAAAACATTGAAATACTGATTATAAGGTTATCTGACTATAGACAGAGTTTCCATGTGCTCAATAGGAATATGCCAAAATAGAAAAAGGTTAAGATAGACCTTTGCAAGGTATTTCTAATTTCAGTGATGGGTGAACAGCACACTGAGCCTTTGGAGGCACATGTCTCAGAAAGACTGACAAAGTTCTAGTGTACTGAGATACTTAATAAGCATTTGAACAAATGAGTGAATGAAGAGACATATTCCAAGAGTGTTTTAGTTTCTCATAAGAACAAACCTGACCTACTCTTAGTGTTGATGCCTTTTGAAGACTGTAATCCTCAAGGAGTATAGGCACCCTCCAAGAACAAATAAGTCTCCACTATGTCCCGAGTTTGTGGTTTCACATGTAAGACACTTTATCCCAACTGGTTGTCTATTTTCCTACTTCTGATTGATTCCCCTGTCCCCACCACACACACCTTAAATCACAAGGAGAAGAGTTTGCTATTCCCCACAACACTCTGTATTTTTTACTATTAAAGCACATATTTACTACATTATACTGAAATATCCTGTTTTGTAAATGCCTTCCTAACTACAAGGCAAACTACTTAAGGAAAGCAATTATTCTTATTTACTATTGTACACCTGGCATTTGGTACAATGACTGACTCATGGCTGGCATGAAATAAAGTTTGCTGAATGAATGAATGCATTCCTTGATCATTTTCACTTTTCATATTTAGTATATTCAATATACCACATTCTATAAATCCTCAATCAGCCATTGAGGATTTGATGAAGATACATGAGGATACTTGTATAACAGATATCTATAGAACCAGATCATGTTAACCTATAAAATGTAAGTTTACAAATATCCTTAGGTAGAAATTATCTCCACGAAAAGGAGATTAAACATGGGTGTCTATAGAAAAGTTCCTGAATCACATATATGCATTAGGAACTATGTATATTTTAAATCATTCTGTTCAATTAATATGACTACATGGTAAATTCCCCAACATCATAAAAATTCAAATGATTTTCCACCAGTTTCTGCTGTTATAAGCTCTGCAAGAGAAAAAGTCATATTGTTCTCCAGAACTCCCACCTCTAGTCCAAGGATTAATATAGAGTCAACAACATCTCCAGATTTGCTTTAGGTAAAGATGGTAAACTGCTGAGTACCAGGGAGTATCTAAAATGGCTTCAATCAAAGCTAATTACTAAAAGTAGAAATAAATGTAAGTAAAAAAGATTTTTCCTGTATGTTTTTCTTTTTTTCCTTTATCCTCACACGAGGATATTCTTACTGATTTTAGAGAGGGAACGGGAGGGAGAAAGAGGGAGAAAAACATCAAAATGAAAGAGAAGCAAGGATGGGTTGCCTCTAATATGTGCCCCAGCTGGACAGACACCAAACCTGCAACCCAGGAATGTGACCCAGCCAGGAATCAAAACCACTGCCTTCTGATCTGAGGGATGACATTCCAACCAATGGAGCTACCAGGCCAGAGCTATTCCTGTGTTTTGAAGTATTATTAAAAAGCCCAGAGTAGTTAACTTAGGCAATTTTCATCAACTAAATTACTAGGATTTACTATTTAAAAATTAATTTTCAAATTAATTTTCAAAAAGACAAATTGGTCTATAAATATATGATACAAAATTGTTAATATTTTTTCTTACTGTATCAGAAACAGTTCTCCAGCCATTGTTCTCTATACGACAATACCATCCACTGTGATCCTCTTCCTGAACATTATCACTTTGAATATGAGATGCATATTTTGCTGAAAGTTTTGTGTAATCTCTAGGGCTATTAGCACATAGATCTTCAATATGTCTCTCAGTAAAAATTTTATAGTATATTTCAGGTGGAAATTTAACCTGTAGATAGAAAAGTTCAAAGGGCCATTGTATCCCAATTAAAAAGTAATTTACATTTAAAAAATCACATCTCACAAATGGTATATAAATAAGCTTTCAAATTATAACTAATAATTCACCCATACTTACACCACCTAATCTGAACCGTACATGAACGCCAGCAGCAGCATCTAGAAGCTCTGCCTATAAAACAAATTACTTTTCAGCATTCTATATATGCCAATTCACTAATTCTCACTCTATCATGTTGAAATAATTGCTGAATATTGATTATTTATGAAATAGATCAAGTGACTAAACTTCAAATAATTATTTTCAAATTGGAAAATATTTTAAGATTTAATTTCTTATAGACATCTAATAAGTAAAACAACATACATGATAAGTGGCAAAACAATATAAAATTATGTTTCCTTTCTATATAAGTGTAAAAGTCAAGTGATGTGTTATTCATAAAACAAAACTTTTAAATAAGTGCTCAAATATATGGTTTGCATATTAAATAATGTCTTACACGTAAATTCAGAAGAAAAAACTTATATTGGTCAATCAGAGTTTTATATCAGATGACCTATCCTAACTGCCTTTTATTAAATTTTTTAAAGTCCATGTTTAAATTTATTTTATTTAAAACTTTCCTTTTAAAGATTTTATTTTAATTTTAGAGAAGGGAAAGTGGGGGGTAAAGCAAGAGAGAAACATCAATGTGTGGTTGCCTTTTGAGGGTCCTCTACCGAGGGCCTGACCTGCAACCCAGGCATGTGCCCTGATTGGGAATTGAACCAGCAACCCCTTGGTTCTCAGGCCAACACTCAATCCACTGAGCAACACCAGCCAAGGCTAAATTTCTTTTTTTTTTTTAATTATTTATTTATTTTTAGAGAAAGGGAGGAGGAAAAACAGAAAGAAACATCAATGTGTGTTTGTCTCTTGCATGCCCCCTACTATGGACCTGGATCAGGCATATGCCCTGACTGAGAATTAAACCAGGGACCCTTTGGTTCATAGGCTAGCATTCAATCCACTGAGCCATGCCAGCCAGAGCATATTTCATAAGAATTATATATAATTGATTTTCTTGGCCCTGACTGGTGTAGCTCAGTGGATTGAGCACCAGCCTGCAAACTAAAGGGTCGCAGGTTCAATTTCCAGTCAGGGCACATGTCTGGGTTCTAGGCCAGGTCCCCAGTGGGGGCCCGGTGAAAGGCAACCACACATTGATGTTTCTCTCCCTTCCTCCTTTCCCCTCTCTCTATTAATAAATAAATAAAATCTTTTTTAAAAAACCTTGAAAATTAAAAAAAAGAACAAACTAAAAAAAAAAGAATTATATATAATTGATTTTCTAAATGTTAGTGCCCTGGACAAAATGGAAAATAGAAAAAAAATTTGCTACTGTATTAGAAGACAGTTCAATGTTGTCTCCTGACAATATTAGATGAGAAAATAGATGTTATCTTGTTTAGTCCATAAAGCCCTAAAAATAAAACTAGTTTTACATAATTTTCTCCTGAGTAAAAATTGTACATACATATATAATATATAGAGTCATAATTCAAATATGATAAAGATGTTTTATAACAAGATTTTAAAGTATATATTTATAAAATTCATAAAATATATACTTTCATATATGACTCTGTCCAGAAAAAGTCTGGCCATTGTTAATATAATGAGAACAGTTTGCACAACATCAATGTAACCTGGCAGCCAAGGAGAGTGGACTACAATGCACATGCATGAACAATGATGATTCCACTGTACTAGTCAGTGGGGGCAGTAGAAACTGTTGAGTGATCATGTGTACTGTGTGGCTGTTGCATTCAAATGACTGAATGAGTAGAGCAATGAATCTGTATCAAATTTTATGTTAAGCTTGAACATTCCTCTGCAAAAACTATTTGGATGATTTCAGAAGGCTTTGGGATGATGTAATGAGTGCAGCACAAATAGAAGTGTGGCACAAATGCTTCAAAGATGGTCAAGAATCTATTGAAGTGAATGATATTCTGGAAAGCCCACAACAAGCAGAGTACCTGAAAATGTTGAATGTGTACAGGCTGCAATCAACAAATATCAGCAACTGACAGTGCGAGAACTAGAAGCTGCTCTGAGGATTCCAAAAACACTGTGTCTGAGATTTTGAAGCAGGATCTTGGCATGAATCATATTGTGGCAAAATTCATTCTACAGCTTCTGCTACCAGAGCAGAGTAAATATCGTGCTACAGTTGGGAGAACTGTATGAAGTCCCAAAATGCCTACTTTGAAGGATACTGAGGCATCATTGTCCTAAGTACAATGTTTCTTGCATCTTGTATCTTCTCCAATAAATGCCTCTATTTTGCCAACTTCTGGCCAAGATGGAGGCGTAGATAGGCACACTGTGCCTCCTCACATGACCAAAAGAACAACAAAATTTAAAAACAAAAAGAAACCAGAACTGCCAGAAAATCAAACTGTATGGAAGTCTGACAAGCAAGGAGTTAAAGAAGAAACATTTATCCAGACCAGTAGGAGAGGTGGAGATGGGCAGTCAGGGTGGAGAGGACTCATGGCAAGGTGGCGGCTGCTGGGTCAGGAGAGGCAGTGTCTGGCAGAGCAAATAATCCCACATTTGCATGCAAGTAAACCAGAAGGAACAACTGGGGAGCGAGACAGACCATGCAACCCAGGGTTCCAGCTCAGGGAAATAAAGCCTCAAAACCTGTTACTGAAAAAACCTGTGGGGGTTGAGGTGGCACTAGGAGAAACTCCCAGCCTCACAGGAGAGTTCATTGGAGAGACCCACAGGGTCCTAGAATGTACACAAACCCACCCACACAGGAATCAGCACCTAAAAGGTCCAATTTGCTTGTGGGTAGTGGAGGAAGTGACTGAAAACCCACCAAGAGCTGAGCAAGCAGCATTGTTCTCTCTCAGACCTCTCCCTCACATACAGTGCCACAATGTAGCCATGTGGTTGTCTTACCCTGGTGAATACCTAGGGCACTGCCCCTTACTACATAACAGGCCCACCAAGGCAAAAAAATATGGCCTGAATGAAAGAACAGATCAAAGCTCCAGAAAAAAATACAACTCAGTGATGAAGAGATAGCTGAACTATCACATACAGAGTTCAAACCACTAGTAATCAGGATACTCACAGAAGTGGTTGAGTATGGTCACAAAATAGAAGAAAAAGTGAAGGCTATGAGAAGTGAAATAAAGGAAAATGTACAGGAAACCAACAATGATGAGAAGGAAACTGGGACTCAAATCAAAGATTTGGAACAGAAGGAAGAAATAAACATTCAACCAGAACAGAATCAAGAAACAAGAATTCAGAAAAATTGAGGAGAGGCTTAGGAACACCCAGGACAACTTTAAATGTTCCAACATCTGAATCATAGGGGTACCAGAAGGAGAAGAGGAAAAACAAGAAATTGAAAAATTTGAAGAAATAATGAAGGAAAACTTCCCCAATCTCGAAAAGGAAACAGACTTCCAGGAAGTCCAGGAAGCTCAGAGAGTCCCAAAAAAGTTGGACCCAAGGAAGCACACACCAAGGCACATCATCATTAAGTTACCCAAGATTAGAGATAAGGAGAGAATCTTAAAAGCAGCAAGAGAAAAGGAGACACTTACCAACAAAGGAGTTCCCATGAGACTTAACAGCTCATTTCTCAAAAGAAACCTTGCAGGCAAGAAGAGACTGGAAAGCAGTATTCCAAGTCAGGAAAGGCAAAGATCTACTTCCAAGATTACTCTATCCAGCAAAGCTATCATTTAGAATGCAAGGGCAGATAAAGTTCTTCCCTGACAAGATAAAGTTAAAGGAGTTCATCATTACCAAGACTTTATTATATGAAATGTTAAAGGGACTTATCTAAGAAAAAGAAGATCAAAACTATGAACAGTGAAATAACAATAAACTCACTACTATCAACAACTGATCCTAAAAAACAAAAACAAACTAAGCAAACAACTGGAACAGGAACATATTCACAGAAATAGAGATCACATGGAGGGTTAGCAGTGGGGGGGGTAGGGGGGAGAATGGGGGAAAAGTTACAGGGAATAAGAAGCATAAATGATAGGTAGAAGATAGACGGGAGGAGGTTAAAAATAGTATGGGAAATGTAGAAGCTAAAGAACTTATATGTATGACCCATGGACATAAACTAAGGTGGAGGAATGATGGTGGGAAGGGGGTACAGGGAAGAGGGGAAAAAATTTCCCTTTGGGAGAAAAAATGGAACAATTATAATAGCATAATCAATAAAATATATTAAAATTTAAAAAAAAGGATAAATGTCTCAATTTTTCAGAGTGCATGGCTGGCTACTTTCTGGACAGTCCATACACATGTATATATATGTATATATTTATATATGTATATATGTGTGTGTATTTAAATACCCCTTTCCCACTGAAGTAGGAAAATCTTAAATGTACAGCTCCATGAAGTTTTATCCCTCCTGTTTTAGTCAGTTAGTGTGAGGGGCTGATCACATCAAACCTATTCAGAAATTGAGCTTGGTAAAGTCTGAATTACAGCTTTAGTAATCCACATCCATTTATCTACTTCTAATTTTTCCCTGTTTCTCAGATGTGATCTCCTCAACCATGATAGACTATGGGAAATTCAGTTATATTTTTTGGAAGATTTGAGATTAATTATTTATTCTTCTAGCATCTACAGACTCAAATAAAGGTGGGGGTGGCTGTGTATTTGAGGTAGTTCCATTCCCTCTAGTATGTCTTTGTCTCTTAAGTTTATGAGAGATTTGATTTACTGTTATTTTAAGTGGACTCAAAGTGGACACCTGGCTGGTGTGGCTCAGTTGGTTGGGCATTGTCCCACAAACCAAAAAATCGCCAGTTTGATTTGTGGTCAGGACATATGCCCGGGTTGTGGGCCAGGACCCTGTTGGGGCCTATGAGAGGCAACCAATTGATGTTTCTCTTGCACATCAATGTTTCTCTTCCTCTCTTTCTCTTCCCCTTCCCCTTCTCTAAATAAGTAAATAAATAAATAAAATCTAAAAAAAGAGGACTTAGATTAGCTGTAAATCGGTTCACTGCAAACTCTAAAGCAACCAAAAAAAAGTTAAAAGGAAGTATAATTTGTATACTAAGAGAGAAGAGAAAATGTAATCATATAAAGTGCTCAATTAAAACCAGAGAAGGCATGAAAAGAGTGCAAGACAAAATAAGTAGAGAGAAAGAGAGAGAGAGAAAAGAACAGACAAACACCCTTTGGGAATGCTGTTACGAAATAGTAACAGATAGGGTAGATCAAGCTGTATCAATAATCACTTTAAATATCAATGGTCTAAATGTATGAATTAAAAGGCAGAGACTATCAGAGGAGATAAAAAATAAGACCCAACTATATGTTTACAAAACTTTCAATATGAAGACAGACTTATTAAAAGCAAAAGGATGGAGAAAGATATAGCACTTTAATCAAATGAAAGCTGGGCAGCTATATTAATTTTAGAATTTAGAGGAAGGAAATTTTTCAGAAAAAAAGAGGAACATTACTTGATGATAAAGTGGTCAATTTTCTAAGAAGGCATAGCAACAATCCCTAATGTGCATATGCCTAACAACGGGGCATCAAAATATGTAAGGCAAAACTAACAGAACTGCAAGAACACCTAGAGGAATCACTATCAGAGAAGGCCATAATTAAATATAAACAGCACCATCAATAACTGGATCTAATTGACATTTATTGAACATTTCATCCAACAATAGCAGAATATACATTCTTCTCAAGCCCACAGGAAACATTTACCGAGAGGGAACACTGTCTAGACCATAAAATGCAACTTAACAAATATAAAAGAATAGAAACCAGACAAAACATGCTCTCAGGTCCCAGTGGAATTAAACTAGAAATCAATAGCAGAAGCACAGATGGAAAGCCCCAAAACTTGGAAATTAAACAACACACTTCTAAATATCAAATAAGGGTCAAATAAGAAGTCTCTGGATGTTAAAATTTTAAATATTTTTAAATAAATGAAAAGAAACTACAACTTATTAATTTTGTGAGATGCAGTAAAAATAGTGCTTAGATGACAATTTATAGTGTTGGATGCATATATTAGAAAACAACAAAGATTTGAAATCAGTAATCTAAGATTCTACCTTAAGAAACTAGAAAAAGAAAACAAATTAAGTCAAAAGTAGTGATAAGAAATGAGATGAAAAACAGAACAGAAGCCCTGGCTGGCATAGCTCAGTGGATTGAGCGCGGGCTGGGAATCAAAGTGTCCCAGGTTCGATTCCCAGCCAGGGTACATTCCTGGGTTGCAGGCCAGAACCCCCAGCAACCACACATGAATGTTTCTCTCCCTCTCCCTCTCTCCCTCTCTCTCTCCCTCTCTCTCTCTCTCTCTCTCTCTCTCTCTCTCTCCCCCTCCCTTCCCTCTCTAAAAATAAATAAATAAATAAAATCTTTAAAAAAAAAAAGAAAAACAGAACAGAAATCTGTGAAACTGAAAACAGAAAATCAATAGAGAAAATTAAACAAACTAAAAGCTGGTTCTTTGAAAAGATCAGTAAAATTAATAAACTTCTGGCCAGACTAAGAATCTGCATGATGGTTATGCAAGGGTTTGCTTGTAATGACTCAATGAGTTACACATATATGTATAATGAATTTTTATGTGTGCTTAATAGTTCAAAAAAATGTTTTTAAAAGGAACAACTACAATCACATTGAGTTTATAAAGCTACACAATTTTATGAAAGAAAAAAAGATGGTGTATCAATAAATAATGTTCTTGCCCTGGCTGGCATGGCTCAGTTGGTTGGGCGTCATCCTGCAAGTAAAAGGTCGCTGGTTCCATTCCTGGTCAGGGCTCAGGCTTAGGTTGCAGGCCAGGTCCCTGGTTGGGGCCTGTGCATGAGGCAACTGATTGATGTTTCTCTCATACATCCATGTTTCTCTCCCTTTTTTTCTCCCTCTCTTCCTCTCTCTCTAAAAACAAATAAAATCTAAAAGAAAATTTAAAAAATAAATAAATAATGTTCTTACCTCTTTAGGATTAATATATCTTACTATTTGACGTGGTTCCCCTTGTCTTCTTATATTAATCAGACTTTTAAAGTGTTGGAATACAGTAACATTCTAAAGGTTCAAACACATAAAATTTTATGGTCAAAACTGGGAAAAATGAGTAAAAACCATAAAACAGATTTTATACATTTAAACTAGATTTTAGAATATTATCCACTCAAGGTTTCCTTTGACAAGCCAAGCAATGTTGGTATTTTCACAAAGTGTTTTACCCTTAAGTTTGTAATTGTATCACTAGCAACTATGAATAGAATATGCAGAACTTTGGTTGTGTCACTTCTGTATACTCCAGAGTAATCTAGGAGAAAGACAAAATATAGTCAGGTGAGTAAGAACATTGACTATGGCATAATATTGTCTGGTTCAACTGTTAGTTCTTACTAGCTGTATGACCCTAGATAAGTTACTTGACCTATCTGCTCAGATTCTTATCTAAAATATGGGGATGATAGTAGCTATCTCATACAGCTATGGTAAAAAATGAATGTGTTAATATTTGTAAAGCACTTAGAACAACTTCTGGTATAAGAAAGCACTCAGTTAATATTATCTATAATTACCAATACAGAATCCTCTTCATTTCTGTAATTCCAGTGATTTACAAACCCTATCTGCTTTTCATGTTAGTGCAAATTTAGTCAACTCCTAAAAATTCTTCAATCTTGGAAAGCTATTTTTTGGTAACCCTCTCCGTATACCCTTTTTCATAAAAACATCCTTAATAACTCTTGGTAAATTCTATCTCTCCAGCTTGCTTATCTTAAGTCAAATTAGCACCATTACCACGATTTGAAGATCAAATGTATTCACTTTATATATTAGAACTATTTTAGTTTGTATGATACTTGAACCATGGCTTTCATGGTTAGCCCTTTTTCAGAATTTCTAACCACTTTTTAAGTCCAACTTCTCAGACATACCTTTTATTGCATGAGGTATCATTTTATCACCAGATATACCCCCCTTACAGCCATTCACCATACTGATCTAACCTGAATTGTCACTTTTACGGTAATCCCTCAGGTTTGTTATTTCTCTTTCTGTTTCTTTTTTGTTTTTATAATATTTTTTTCTTAAATGTCAGGTGATCCTTGGTTCTCCATTAATACAGTCATGTGCCACATAACAACAGAAATACAGTTTGAAAAATGCATCATTAGGCAATTTCATCATTGTGCAAACATCACAGCGTGTACTTGCACAAACCTAGCACAGAGTCCACTGTATGCCCAGGCTATGTGGAAAACCACTCTCACATATGCAGTCTGTCAGAGGCTTATGTGTTACAAGACCGTAATTAAGAATGAAAGTCTGTGTCAGTTCTTCTAGGAAGCATGTATATCCTGTGTTTTTGTGCAGTCTCCTATTTTCTGACTATTCACTTTTATGCCTGGGAGCTTTGTGATGTGGGTGGATTAAGCTAATCAACAGGCTTTCTTATAGGGGATGGTCAGATAGCCAGCAATTAATCAGGGTGACTCTCGTATACTAAAATTAAGAGGTTTTTTATGTGAAGTGCCAAGTCCATGCTAGAATTAGCTTTCCCAGATAGTTCATTTAATTTTTTTAGAAATAAGCCTTTAGGGTTTTTTTCTCCCAGTGGAACATATCCATCCACCAAAAGATTTTTTGCTAATGATAAATATCCATCTACCTGAAGCTTTGGATCTTAAAGTGACAGGGGAGACAAATCATACAGATAGCTGTTCCGTGTATAGACCTTCAATCAGCCCCCTTGTCTCCACCAACTTTCTTCCAGGCCTTTTAAATTGCTAACTCCTAATTGATATTCGTTCTAGGCTTCCAATGGCAAACCAGCTCTCTCACTGGAGTTCTTTTGAAATGTATCTGGACAATTCTTCTACACAGTTTTGTCTAGCTGGATGCTACAATCTGTTTTTGGTTTTCTGTAAATGAGATAAAATTTCTTATTTGCTCACAAACACCCTTCTTTTACGTGTTAAGTTTCTGTATATTATTATTTCAATGGGGCTTTGGAGGAACAGAAAGTGAAAATGTGTGCTCAGTCTACCATCTGGTTAAAATACACACACACACACCCAACTTGCTTGCTTATATATGTGCCTTCTCTACTGAAGCTCCTTAATGGCAAAGAAGTACTATAAAGTGCTAGCCCCGTGCCAGGGAAATAAAGGCATGTGGCTCATTGGATTTGGATGTAAGAGAAGCTACAAATGACAGAAAAGCTTAAGCCTAGATGACAAGTATGCATATTGAAACCATCAAAGGAACAGTAGATTTTAAGGAAAAAAGTTATTTCAGTGTTGAAAATCAATAGTTACCCTCCAGAATAGGTTTTATGGCTTTGATAGAGGCAGTAGAGGCAAATAATGGAAGCTACTTTGCAAGACTTGATTAACTGATACAAAAGTATTCTTGTGTGCTAGAAACAGAGCCATACCACTTCACACAAAATTGTCAGCAGACAGAGAGCTGCTGCTATGAGAGAGAGAAGAGTGACATCATTTTGCTCTTGGCTGTCACCTAACCAGGTAAATCTACTTGGAATATTCCTTATTGGATAAAAAGACAAGCTCTACCCATATAGAGCATGATAAGAAACTACTACATTAACCCACATGTGGTGTATTATTGAACTTTAAGACCTCAAGAGTAGGTACTCAGTTAATATTTAATGAATGAATGTATTCCTAACACCTGCTCACAAACCTGATTCCAGAGTCAAGAAATAAAGTTTTTAGGGGTGAAATCCAAATGATCCAATTACTTATACTTTTTTAAAAATATATTTTATTTACTTATTTTTAGAGAGAGAGGAAGGGAAGGAAGAAGAAAGGGAGAGAAACATCAATGTGTGGTTGCCTCTTGTACACCCCACACTGGGGACCTGGCTTACAACCCAGGCATGTGCCCTGACTGGGAATCAAACTGGTGACCCTTTGGTTCACAGGCCCACGCTCACTCCATTGAGCTACATCAGCCAGGGCAATTACTGATACTTTCATTCATAGCAGCTATTATCAAAGTGTCTGGCCCAGATCAGGAACAACATAAAATATTTGTGAGACTAATGACAATATTAATTAGTGTTAATTTTTTGAAAATTTTAAAAATGTGCCCTGGCTGGCATGGGTCAGAGGATTGAGCACAGGCTGCGAACCAAAGCATTGCAGGTTCAGTTCCCAGTCAGGGCACATGCCTGGGTTGCAGGCCATGGCCCCCAGCAACCGCACACTGATGTTTCTCTCTCTCTCTCTTTCTCCCTCCCTTCCCTCTCTAAAAATAAATAAATAAAATCTTTAAAAAAAAAGTGTGCTTTTAAGGCAAAGTGTTGTATACAACTCTGTAAATATACTAAAAACTACTGTAATGTACACTGTAAAGAGGGGAACCATATGATATCTAAATTATATCCCAGTAAAGTTGCAAAAGGAAAAATCCTTACAAGGAAACTTTTCCAGGCCTTCTGAATGACTCTGGCAGCTTTATCTCTCTTTGTAAATTCCAATTCTTGTTTCCAAGACATTTAAAGTCCTGAAAGAAATGGGTATATTTGAAATTATTTTATATAATTCATTATGAAACTGTCACTAGAACTTGATGAAAATTAAATAGAAAGTTGAATGAATGAAAAAATGTATAAATGTCACATATTAAATTTACAGTAGCAATATGGTTTTGAGATGCTTCATCATAGTCCAAACTAAGTAAGTAAATATCACTTAAAATTTTTAAATTCTGAACTGTTATTTGTAAAATGCTAAATGTAAAAAGATTTACAAATCCCAAAGCCATGAAGTATTTAAACACATAACATAATCTACTAATATGTGCATATTTTGAAAGACAGACACCAAATAGACACTGTCTAGAAGATATGCCATTTAGTATGAAAAATAAAAGTAAAACATACATATATAATCTTTAATTTTTTTCTCTTTTGATGCTAAAATTATTTGGAAGCTTAGAACTAGATATTTTCTTTCAACTGGATATTGCTGAGCTTTAAAACTGACATTTTTAAGAATAGAAAGAAAGTTCTCTATGAAAAAAAGTCTTTCTGGCCAAGATGGAGGTGTAGGTAGATACGCTGTACCTCCTCGCACAACCAAAAGACAACAACAAAATTTAAAAACAAAAACCCACCAGAACTGCCAGAAAATCAAACTGTGTGGAAGTCTGACAACCAAGGAGTTAAAGAAGAAACATTCATCCAGACTGGTAGGAGGGGTGGAGAAGGAAGCCAGGTGGAGAGGACTTGCAGCAAGGTGGTGGCTGAAGGACTGGGGTAGGTGTGGTGGTGGCTGGAGAACCAGCAGTCCCACATTTGCATGCAGGCAAACCAGGAGGAACAACTGGGGAGCGAGGCAGACCATGCAACCCAGGGTTCCAGCTCAGGGAAATAAAGGCTCAAAACCTGTTACTGAAAAAACCTGTGGGGATTGATGCAGCAGGAGAAACTCCCACCTTCACAGGAGAGTTCATTGGAAAGACCCACAGGGTTCTAGAAGATACACAAACCCACCCATCCAGGAATCAGCAGCAGAAGGGCCCAATTTGCTTATGGGTAGCAAAGGAAGTGACTGAGAGCCAAGCAAGCAACATTGTTCCCTTTAGGACCCCTCCCCAACAGACGGCGACAGAATGCAGCCACTTGGGTTGCCTCGCCCTGGCAAATACCTAAGTCTCTGCCCCTTACTATGTAGGTGAACCTAGACAAAAAATATCACCTGAATGAAAGAACAGATCAAAGCTCCAGAAAAAATACAACTAAGCAATGAAGAGATAGCCAACCTATCAGATGCATAGTTCAAAACACTGGTAATCAGGATGCTCACAGAAATGGTTGAGTATGGTCACAAAATAGAAGAAAAAGTGAAGGCTATGAGAAGTGAAATAAAGGAAAATGTACAAGGAACCAACAGTGATGGGAAGGAAACTGGGACTCAAATCAAAGATTTGGAACAGAAGGAAGAAATAAACATTCAACCAAAACAGAATGAAGGAATAAGAATTCAAAAAACATGAGGAGAGGCTTAGAATCATCTAGGAGAACTTTAAATGTTCCAACATCTGAATCATAGGGGTACCAGAAGGAGAAGAGGAAGAGCAAGAAATCAAAAACTTATTTGAAAACATAATGAAGGAGAACTTCTCCAATCTCGAAAAGGAAACAGACTTCCAGGAAGTCCAGGAAGCTCAGAAAATCCCAAAGTTGGACCCAAGGAAGCACATACCAAGGCACATCATCATTAAGTTACCCAAGATTAAAGATAAGGAGAATATCTTAAAAGCAGCAAGAGAAAAGGAGACACTTACCTACAAAGGGGTTCCCATAAGACTTAACAGCTCATTTCTCACAAGAGACCTTACAGGCAAGAAGGGGCTGGAAAGAAGTATTCCAAGTCATGAAAGGCAAGGACCTACATCCAAGATTACTCTATCCAGCAAAGCTATCATTTAGAATGGAAGGGCTGATAAAGTGCTTCCCAGATAAGGTCAAGTTAAAGGCATTCATGATCACCAAGCCCTTATTATATGAAATATTAAAGGGACTTATCTAAGAAAAAGGTGATCAAAGATATGGACAGTAACATGACAAACTCACAATTATCAACAACCAAACCTAAGAAAAATAAAAACAAAAATAAACAAGCAAACAGCTAGAACAGGAATAGGACCACAGAAATGGGGATCACATGGTGGGTGGAGGGTGAGGTGAGAGAATGGGGGAAAAGTTACAGGGAATAAGAAGCATAAATGGTAGGTACAAAATAGACAGGGTGAGGTTAAGAATAGTATAGGAAATGTAGAAGCCAAAGAACTTATATTTATGACCCATGGACATGAACTAAGAGGTGGGGGAAATGCTGGTGGGAGGGGGGGTACAGGGTGGAGGGGAATAAAGAAGGGGAAAATGGGAAACTGTGATAGCATAATCAATAAAATATAATAAAAAAATAAAACAATTAGGATGAAGAAAAAGAAAAAAAGTCTGACTTTTTTTCCCTTCAAATAGCTTTAGTAATATAGGAGGCATGGGAATATAGATTAAATCTTTGGGTCTGAAGTAAGATTGGAATTTAAATCTTAACATATTCCACCTTACATTTAGTTGTGTGATCTTGTATATTATTTAACTTTTTCCAACTTCAGTTTTCTCCTCTGTAAAATATGGGAGATCATAGTACCTCCCTCATAGAATTGTGAGGGAATAAATCAGATAACACAGGTAAAGCATTTATATACTTTCTGGACCATTTATAAACATTCAATAAATTGTACTGATTACTATACAAACTATTTTAAAAAATAAGAGTTATGCATGTGCATTGTTTTGTATAAAAATTTTGATATAATGAACATTTTAAACACAGTTATTCTCATAATTTGCAAATAACTGTTAGCGCAAATAATAGTAAGGAATGATATATGGGGCTTAAACGACTGCCAATTTTGATCAAGGAATAACACTTTAAGATATACTCTTTCTAGCCAGCAGGTGGAGAAGGAACAAAGTATAGTTTATCTGTGTATTTTGGAACACTTCAGGAAAAAAGTTTTTTGGTGAATAGTTTGATAATCAGGTTTAATAATTTTTAAGGACGCTTGCTGTTTCTATCATCCAAAGAGATAAATACAGCCCTGACTGGTGTGGCTCAGTGCATTGAGCACCAGCCTGCAAACCAAAAGGTCCCAAGTTAGATTCCCAGTCAGAGGACATGCCTGGGTTGCAGGCCAGGTCCCCAGTGGGGGGCATGTGAGAGGTAACCTAGTGATGTATGTCTGGCACATTGATTTTCCTCTCCCACTTTTTCTCCCTCCCTTCCCCTCTCTCTAAAAGTAAATAAATAAAATCTTTTTTAAAAAGATAAATACAGAAGGTAGCTTTGCCATCTGAGATTTATCATAACCTTAAAAATCATATCAAAATTTTAATTTTAAAATGTGAGAAAAAAATAGAATAATAACTATACTCAATTTTGAAACATGGTGGTTACCTTGATTCATTACTCTTTTTGTGATAAAATTCTAATTTCATTAGTCATCTTTTGATTAATCAATTGCAGCCAAATCTTGTCTTTTTTTTTTTTTGCTCTGTTGGTTTGTAATGTGGCCTTTCTGATATAGAATCATTACTCTTATATTATTTTCCTGTCCAAGTTCTTTTTCTCTGGTCAACATACAGGATACAGGTATTTGATATTCACAAATAATCATAGAATCAGGGTAATAGTTAAATATCAGAAAAATATGTAAATATCATTCCCTACTTAAATCTCATTACTGTTTAAAATCCAAAATTGTTCATATTATCACTTAGATTTATTTACTTTAAAAGTTATTATATAGGTACCAGCCAAGATGGAGGTGTAGGTAGAAATCCTTTGCTTCCTTGCACAACCAAAAGGAGGATAACAACCAATTTAAAATCAATAAACAACCAGAAGTACCAGGAAAAAAAAACTGCATGGGACTCTGACAACCAAGGAATTAAAGAAAAAAAATCAATCAGAACCACCAGACTGGCAAGGCGGTGGACCGAGAGGTCTGGCTGGTGGAGAAAAACCGAGGAGAGCCGGTGGACCTTGGGGGCAGGGCTGGCTGTAGTGTGGGGCTGATAGAAGTGGTAACTGAAACTCAGAGCTGATACAACAGTTGCTACATTGGGAGAAACGTCCAGTCTCACAAAGGAGTCTGATGAAACAAGTCTCTGTGGACAAGCAGGTGAGCTGCACTGTTCCCTCTCTGGCGCCTACCCCATAGGCAGCACTGCAACAAAGAGGGTCACCCTGCCTGGGTGAAAATCTTAGACCCTGCCCCCTTACAACTTATCAGCTGTGCCAAGATGAAGAGATATGGCTCAAATGAAAGAACAGAGTAAAACTTATTTGAACAAATAATGAAGGAAAACGTCCCCAATTTGGTAAAGAAAATAGATTTCCAGTAAACTCAGAGAGTCCCAAAGAAGTTGGACCCAAGGAGGAACACACCAAGGTACATCATCATTAACTCATCCAAGATGAAAGATAAGGAGAGAATCTTAAAAGTAGCAAGAGAAAAGGACACAATTACCTACAAAGAAGTGCCCATAAGACTATCAGCTCATTTCTTAAAGAAACCTTGAGAAGGCAAAAAGGCGCTAGAAAGAAGTATTCAAAGTCATGAAAGGCAAGGACCTACATCCAAGATGACTCTATTCAGCAAAGCTGTCATTTAGAATGGAAGAGCAGATAAAGTGCTTCCCAGATAAGGTCAAGTTAAAGGAATCATCACCAAGCCATTATTATATGGAATGTTAAAGGGACTCATCTAAGAAAAAAAAGATAAAAAATATGAACAGTAAAATGACAACAAACTCATAACTATCAACAAATAAATCTAAAAAAAAGAAAAACAACAAAAACAAAAACTAAGCAAACAGAACAGGAACAGAATCAGAGTAATGGAGATCACATGAAGGAATTTCAGTGGGGCGTGAGAAGGGAGGAATGCAGGGGAAAAGGTATAGGGAAGAAGAAGCATAACTAGTA